TCGGAATGAAGTTGCCAAAGGGGAAAAAGAAGAAGGTAGCAATACAAAATTACCACTGCCCTGGATGGTTGACAACCACAGGCCTGGGGAGGCTGACGCCCAAAGCCATCTGAGAAAGCATTCATCGTGAGGATGGACCTCCTGAGCTTTGTGTCTCTCAGGTCAACCCTCCCGAAGGATGGTAGAGAAGAACCCTGAAACAGCTACCATGGAGCTGGTGACCCTCGGGAGGGAAGCTGGAAGATGAGGGGCCAATGAGGACAAAGTCAAGAGAAACAAGAGCTTCTCGCAATCTAAAGAATCCATGAAAGCTAGTGTCAGGGCCCGTCACCTCCAAGGTTCTCACACATCTCCACACATTCCCTGGGCGGTCACAGAAACGTGCTTCTAAGTTTCCAGATGATACCGAAGCAGCTAGGCACACATGGGCATTGCTCCAACTAACAAAAGTATCATTGTTTCTTCGTCTGCTATCTAGTTAGTTAATTAACTGATTTACACAATTTCATATATCCCAGGCTAGCCTTGAACTGGCTATACAGCCAAGGATTATCTTGAACTGGTCCTGCTTCCAACTCCTATATGCTAGGACCGCAGGCACCACACAGGCTGCCGGGTTTCAATATTCTGTTTCCCTAACACTTGCCTTGGTGGGTTTTTTGCTTTGTTTTTTGAGACAGGGCTACATATTGATGTCCTGGAACTCACTCTGTAGACCGGGCTGGTCTAGAACTCAGGGATCGCCCCCCACCCTTGCTTCCCAAGTGCTGGAGTGCTATAGTAAATGGCTTGTGCTACTGCCTCCAGCAAAATCCTCATACATTTGTATCTAAGATGATATAGACTTTCTAAAATACAGACTGTTTAGCAGAAATCCAGCCTCTCCCTTCCCATCACCTTAGGATTTCTTGTTAGCTCAGCCTCTTGAAGCAGACCTGTCTCTGCTTGCGTTGCAATTCCTAGCATCTTATATAATCCAGTTTCCCCTGGTCTTCTTCTACATTTCCTATATCTTCTCACTACATGTTCTACATGTTCAGTTTCATAACATATTAAGGAATGACCTGCTTTTATCAAATGGTAACTGGCTTCCTCACCTTCTGAAATAGTAAATACAGACATAAGCCTCCCCACCCCCAAACCCACACTGAGTCCACTACTCCTGTCTATTAGGACAGAAATACATTTAATTAAACTGCATTTAGTTCCCCATTCATTTTATTTTCTATCCCTGAAGTTTAAGACTTTAGAACCTGCTAGGAAAATTACCAGCATATGGGAATGCATGTCAAATGACATGCAAAGTGATGCAAATTAATACCAGGCATACGTCTCTAGATGGTTTGGACAAAGTTTGTGAGCTCCCACTAAAGCTGATGCTACCTGTTTCACCACACTGGGCAAGCAGTGGACCCTTGTCCATTTTCCTTCCTTCCTTCCTTCCTTCCTTCCTTCCTTCCTTCCTTCCTTCCTTCCTTCCTTCCTTCCTTCCTCCCTCCCTCCCTCCCTCCCTCCCTCCCTCCTTCCCTTTCTTAGTGTTCTAGACCATTCTGGAACTCTGGAGCCCAAGCTAGCCATGAATCTTCCCGCCTCAGCCTTCTGAGTACTGAACTACAGACAAGTGTGCTGTGTTTGGATTGCATTCTCTTATTACAGATGGTCTCCAGCCACATTCAGAACCTGACACTGACGAGCGAGGGGAAGCAGCTGTGGCTTGGAGATCATCCAAAGGGACGAAGGCTTTAACTTGTTTTAATTTGCTGCTTGCTGGTTCTGTGGCCTTTGTCATCTTAAAATCCTCCAGGTCTCAGAATTATGTATTTGGATCTGATAGATATGACACCATAGAAAGGACATTATCACCATATTTGAACCAGCAACACAGGGTTTAGTGCTTGCTGTATGTCAGGTAACACAGACACACACACATCACACACAGACACACACACACACACAGACCACACACACCACACATACACATAGACATACAAACACACCACACACACATCACATACCACACACACACCACACATACACACACCTCACACACATATATACACCACACATACTATACACACACGACATATACCACACATACATATCACACACATACATATCACACCACACACACACACACACACACACACACACACACACACACACACACACACGGCATAAACTATACGGGTGTGCTGGAAACATGAAATCCTCACAAACAGTCCATGAGGAAAGAGCCCTGAAGCGTAGGGTCATTTCAGGGACCTGGACAAGGAGTCACAAAAGCCGGGAAACTTGAGCTAGGATGCTAGCATGGGAATGACAGAGCCAAGAGCAAGCTATCACAGTCACCCCAGAGGCCTTGTCCCTAATCACAGTACAGCTGTGGTCTGAGGTCACCCTCTGTATACCCAGCATTATTAAACTTGTATGATCTACAAGGTAAAAGTCAAACTGCAGCCATACTTACTTCAAATTATTGTCTCTCTAAGGCACTGACTGTTTATGAGTTTGATCTATCTACCATCACTATAGAGCATTTTTTTTTACTTGATACTCCAAGGCAGTAATTAATCCTCACTCTTCTGGAGTAATTCTCACTCATACACTGTGCCACTCCACTCACATTTAAATAGCGACAAAACGCTGCTCCTCAGTTTCCCTCTCCCTTGGAAGCAGCCACCAGAGCTGGCCACCACCTCCCTAGATGCTCTGCCCTCAGGTCCCATTTCCCTACCTCCTAATCTCCACTTCTCTTCATACCTCATCCCTAAAGCAGATGGCAGCCCCCTTTAGACAAGTCTTCAGGGCTTGCTCTGTTGGCCACAGGGGACATAGCTCTCCTTCCCAGGATCCACAAGTGCTCAGACTCAAAAAAACTGACCTTGTCCTTCTCCCAGGAACCTGTTACCTCCCCCGGGCCCCCTGGGGATAGCAACACCCCAATTTATGGAACCTTCCGACACTCACATCCTCCACAAATGTTCCCCTAGGCATGCCCTCCAGGCCACCCACCAATCATCACGCCCTCAGCCTCTAGCTTCGACCAGGCCTGCATACTCTAGGGGTCCTCAGATCCATCCAGCCACCTGGTGCGTGCTTGTTTGGACTCAAGCAATTCTCCTACCTCAGCCTCCCAGGTGGCAGGGCCTGAAAGCCATGTGCACCTACCTGCACCTGGCTGCTTTTGTTTTCAGTCACAACCCTATGAGGAGACTCACAGGTGTAGGTGCAAGTTGTTTTGGAGATCCACCTAGACTAACTATGTCAGCTGCCCCCACCCCCCACCCTTCTCCACCGTGCCTCAGGCTCTCATGGGGCTCTCCCAGCTCTGACCACTCCTGTCCTTTACTTCCCTGACCCCCCAGTTTAAACAGTTCCTGCTCATCATCCTTAACCCACCTTCCATTCCACGGTAAGGGGCCGCACCCTAAAAAGACAGCTACTGTCCTTCTGTGACCCACAGCGAGGGCCCAGCTCACAGTAAGCATGCAAGACCTCGCTTTGTCCAACTGACTTTGTGGTCCCATGTTGCTCAACTTTATTGTCTGAAGGAGGTATTCCTGCCCCAAAGTCTAAGAAAAAGCTTTACAGCTTATTCACTGTAACTCACACAAATGTAGTGTTAATGATAAGCCGCAGGGGACCAGGTCATGCTGAACAATGGTGTCTCCTCAGGGCAGGGCAGAAAAGACAGTGTCTCCTAGAGCCTTGTCCGCCCCTTCTGCCTGAAGGACTTCCAGTCCGCCTAGGCTGACGGTATTAGAGTGTGCTAATTTCACACCTTACCCTGCCCATCTCTGCGAAGTGAATAGGCACTGTTTAGCAAAAGACTCTGAAACCTTGCCTCTCAAAGGAAAAGGGGGAGACTCTCCCAAGAGAACTCTCCGTCCGGTGTCTCTCCCTCCCCTTCCCCCTGCCCCAGGTGCCAGGTATGTCTTTGGGCATTTCTCTCCTAAAACCAGTAAAAGATATTCCAGCAACACCCGAACCCAGCATTCCTCGCTAATCTGAACACTTAGGAAGCGCAACACAGACAGTTTTCCGCAATAACTCACTTTTAGAGGCTACTTCCTCCAGGCACTACCAACGAAAGCTGCCAAAACAGACTATTAGTTTCTAGACTTAGGCTTATAAGTGGTTTAATAAATAACAAGGGTATGTTTTATGCAAATAAGATAAAAGCGATTTCTATGTCTTTCAAACCGTAAGGTACACTCCAATTTTATTCCAGCTCCCTTTAGTCAACTTGTTTATTGGCCTTACGTTTTAAAGATTAAGAAAGGTGTGGGCATATGCCCCCAAACTGGCATCACCCCTCCACTTGCCTGGCACAAGGACAAGCACTTAAGATTTCCAGCCTCTACCTGGCTGGAAGCTTGGCGCTTGCTTTTGCACACCATGACCACCCTGGAGGCACGCCCACGTCCTTCTCTCTGGAGTCCCTTCTCTCGGGCTGGGAATCCCCCAGAGGTTCCCAGCGCCCCAGGAAGGCGCCGCCACTTCGCAGGGTGTACGATTTCTCCGCAGCACGGAAACTTGACCTTAGAACGCGCAGAAGCTTGTCCCTGCAGAGGCCACGGTCTATGACACGCGACCTGCAGCTTGACTCCCCCGGGACCCCTGTCCCCGTCACTCTAGCGAGAAGCCGCGGGAGGAGCGGGTCTCGGTGGCCTCTGTAGGGGAAACTCCCCCGCGGGCCCCGGGAACTTTGCCGCGTCCCACTCACGGCTGCGGCTGCCGCGTGGGGCTGCGAAGCCGCGGCATCTGCCCGGCGCTCACTGCAGTCGCACCGCCGCCCTCGCCTGCTCCTGGGGACCCAGGGGCTCCGCCGCCAAGAAACCTAAACCTAGTTAGTTCCGGATCGCGCCGCCCCCGCCCCAAAGCCACAAAGACTCGGCGCGCCAAGTTTCCCACGAGGGAAAGTGAAAGTGACGGGCAGGAGAGGGGTCGCCTCCCCCACCCAGGGCCCCCCTTTTGCCTCCGTGCCCAAGCCGACCTACCGGGGAGCCGGGGAGCCGGGGCACGAGGTCCCCGCCACTGTGCCACCCCGGCGCTCGGAACCCGGGTCTCCTCTGCCACGCGCGCTTCCCCGGAGTCGCTGTCCTTCGGCCAGGAGTGGGACAGCGCCGAGGTCCCCGTGACGCCGGAGAAAGGAGGAGCGCCACCGCCACGCTCCCGCAGAGGAAGCTCCGCGCCCGGTGCTGGGGGGTCCCCGCACCGCGCTGGGGACCCAAGTTCCGTGGCGCGCACGCCGGCAGGTCGCGGCTCTCTGTCCCGGTACCCGCTTCTCTGCAGCTGCCCCGCCCGCAAGACACACACCAGACGTCGGAGGAACGGGGTTGCCAAGTGATTTGCCCAAAGTCGCCGAGAGGGCGGTGACAAAGCAACTCAGATCTGCTATTCGGGGCTGCCCCCTCACACGCCGGGCTCCGGGCCGGCAGGACTCCGCTGGATGCGAGTGAGCTCTGAGGGCGAGGCCAGCCAAGGCCTGGGGTGCATGGCGAGCGTTATCAGCAGCGTGGGAAGGTGGAGTTTTGCAGGATAATTAGGGTACAAAGTTAAGTTTTTATCAGTGCCTACATGCGGAGTACGCTTCCTTTTTCCCCTCTGGCGGAGGACAGCATGGCAGGGGGTGATGCTGTATGGGATCATCGGGTGACTGCATCAAAGACTGGTACGCCCATTAAACCAGCCGGGCAGCACCTGACTCTCGGGTCCTTGTGGGTCCTTGTAAGGGGGAACTGTAAGTGTGCTCGCTTTGTAAGGAAGGCATTGTAGGTGTGGTGATGCTTCACACTCCCAGAGAGTCTTCGGTGGGGTGGGGCGAGGGTAGGGGACTGTTCCTGGAATCTGCCCTACAGGGCAAGGAGTATAGCATTAAGCAAGTCAGCCTCAACAGGTTTATCCTTGAAATGGACTGAAAGCCTGCAGTATGCCTGACAGGGGGTGAGGAGCTGGGCAGGACCCGGAATCCAGATCCAGTCAGTTCCAAAGAATGCCCACATCAGCAGGGTGCCTCGGTTTCCCTACCCTGTCTTTAAAAAGCGCCCTGTCCTCAGCGTGCAAGCATCTTCATGTCCGTTTTACAGACTTATTCAGAGACAAATGGACCAGCTTTGCCCACTCCTTCTTCCTGGTGGGACCTCTACTTTCTGGAGAAGTCATTAAATTAGCTACACAATTCATCTTCCCAATAATTCACCTTTTCCAGTTGGCGTTGTCTGTGTGTGAGATGAAGAAGAAAACCAATGCTTCTAATCGTCCTCCATTCTGTGCCCTGTTCAAAGCATTAATGCATTATAACTAGGTCCCCACGAAGAACTGTTTTTATTCTGACTTTTCACATGAGAAGTGTGACTCCAGTAACGGGAGTGAGGGGTGGGGTTGGGATGGGGTGGGGTGGGGTGGGGGAGCCAGAATGTAGACTGTTGGGTGTGTGCCCTTAACCACGAGGAACGGAGGCCAACAGGACTGGAATTCTTAAGAACCAGCAGCCATTCTCAGCCTCTGCTCAAGGAGCCTCCAGTTATTTCAGGCAAGACATACTTGGCCCCACACATCTGCTTTACTATTTTGAACATATCAAATGGATATCCACTTACCCCCTAGCCTCCCTAGCCCCAGACCAATCATTTTGTCCTAAAGCAAGTGGTTTTTATGGTGGGCCCTTTATCTTTTTTTTTTTTTTTACATCTATTTATTCCTTCTGGGAAAAGAGGTCAGAGGAAAACCTTTGGCGATATAGGTCCTGCAGATGGACCTCAGTTGTAAGGCTTAGTGACAAAAAATGCCCTCACCCTGTGAACCATGTTAACTGCCCCGTGAGGGAACCTTTTGTTCTAGTTTACTTTCTGTCGTTGTGATAAACACCATTGACAAAAGCAGCTTGGGAAGAAAGGATTTTTTTTGGCTTATACACACTGATCACAGTCCACTGTTAAGGGAAGTAACTCAAGCAGAAACCATGGGGGAAAGTGGTTTATTGGCTTGCGTCCAGGTTATGGTAAGATGGCTTTCTTATACAGCCTTTGCCAACCTTCATAGGGAAGGCAGTGCCCAGAGTAGTCCGGACCCTTCTACATCAACTAGAATCAAGAAAATGCCCTACAGATATGCCACAGGCCAATCGGATGGAGGTGTTTCCTCAATTGAGGCTCCTTTGCAGGGGTGTCAAGTTGACAATCAAAACTAGCCATCGAGTCTTAAAACACACCTTTAGCTTCATTTCCTAAGCTTTGTTTCGGATTCTCGCTTTAGATGATTTACTTGATTATTTCTACTCAGGTCATATCTAGTGTTACCTTTGTTTCTATCCATTACCTTCAGTGACTGTCCTCGTGCTCTTAAAATTCCCCCAAGTCTCCAAGCAGGATGCCCAAGGCTGGACTGTGACCCCCAGGAGGAAGGGCCCTTTCCGTGTGCTCTTCTATGAATGAGGTGCCTTAACACTCCCCAAGTGTTTTATAGCAGGGGTGCGACTCCTCTGCCTCCTCCTGGTGGTGAGCAGTCCTTGCTGGTGCCTAGCTCCAAGCTGTATCATTCCAATTCTGCCTTCCCTGAACTCTGGCCTTCCCTCCTATGTTTCCAAATTCATCTTTCTTCAAGAATAGCAGGCACTGGATTTAGAGCCCACTCTAATCCAATATGACCTTGTGTTAGCTGGATTACATCTGTGCAGGTTCTCTCTGCAAGGAGGGTCCATTCACCGGTTCAAGAGGACATGGAGTTTGGGGAAAAACACTAACTAGTACAATTCCCTTAAGTCAGTTAATGATATAGTGTTTGAGCTGAGGATGCAAAGAGATATAAACTGAGGTGCCTGCTGCCTTCAAAGGAACTTTGGCTACAGAGGTAGGCCTTGCACTAAGAATGCAAGTAACCAAGAACGAAGGTACTAAGAGCAAAAGGAGTGGTGCCAAATGACAGTCCACCAGCGATGGGACAGTGGCTAGGGATACCACCAGAGAACCTCATCCTAAGGCAAGAGTGAGCCAAGCAGAACGATCAAGGGAGGCTTACTGATGCGATGGGAGATGCCATTCTGTAAATCTGTCTCTTATTGGTTGTTGGATAAAGCACCGTTGGCCAATAGGGAAGCAAGATAGGTGGGACTAGGAGCAAGGAGGATTCTGGGAAAGAGAGGCAGAGTCAGAGACATCATGTAGCTGCCATAGAAGTAACAGGTCCGACCCTTTCTCCGGTAATAGAAATACTTAGATTAACAATTATGGATTAAATACTTAAGTCAGAGATAACCGTAAGAAATAAGCAAACAGCCAACAACTTCATAATTAATATAGTGTCCTGTGTGTTATTTGGGGGTTCAGGACCCAGGCGACTGGCAAGGAAAAGGCTTCACTCTACACTGATGCACACCTCCAAGGGCGAAGTTGTGCGTGGCAGCACCCCATGTCTGAAGTGTCCCCACAAGTGAGAGGCTGAGGGGACGCAAGTTCTTGCCCCGTGAAGTGGAAGGACACCATGAATTACTGTCATGATAACTGTGGTGTCAGAGCATTTAGTGCCAGGCAAGAGGAGCTTTCAGTTTCCCAAACTCCATACAAATGGACTTTGGGTGTCCATCCCACAATGAGAGGTGCACTCTCACCCTGGACACTTAGGGGAGGGTCTAGGCCCTGGCCTGTATGAAATGACAGACTATGGACACCCCCATGGAAGGACTCACCCTCCCTGGGGAAAGGGGGCTATTGGGTGGGGGTTGGTGACATGGAAGGAGGGGAGAGAAAGGGAGAGGGACCTGGGATTGACATGTGAAGCACCCTTGTTTCTAATTTAAATTTTAAAAATATTAAAATTAAAAAATTTCTAGGTGAGCCTGTGTACTATTTGTTTCTTAAGCTTCCCAGATGGTTACAGAATGCATAGGTTGAAGACTATAGACTCCTCCGCCCACTCCACTCTTTCTGGGCTTCCAGCCACCTTATTCCAGGCTTGGGAGAGAAATGCAGAATTCCCTTGTTTCTCCACTTTCTCTGTCCTCCCCCCATCTCCTTCCTGGCCTCTAGTGGCCACTGTTCTACTCTTTGATGGAGATGAGAGCCCAAGCCTTATCCTTTTTTAGTTGAACAACTTGTATCTCATTCATTTACTTAGCAAGTATCTATAATGTGCTGAACATGGTGTTAAATTCTAGAAACAGAGCCAGGAATGATACAAAGTTCATATGCTTGGGGATATTATGTCTACAAGATTGAAACAAGCAAACAATTAAGTTTTAGTGTCTGTTAAGAGACAAAGTCACAGCTCTTTGGGGTGAGGCACATGCCTTGAACCCTTGCCTTCCTGAGGTGGAGGTGAAAGGATCACAAATTCAAAGTCATCGGCTACATTGTGTGCCAAAGACCAGACTGATACACACAGTCTCAAAAAAATAAAAAGATGAAGTTACAAAACACCGGGCTTAGCAGAGTTATTTGGGGTAGAGGTAAAGGGCCTGAGATGCGGCGACTGTGCTGGCCAGTGTTTTGTTAACTTGACATAGTCTAGAGTTATTTGGGAAGAGGGAACCCCAAATGAGAAAATGTCCCTAGCAGACTGGCCTGTGGGTAAGTCTTTAGGACATTTTCTTGATTTGGAATTGATGTGGAAGGGCTCAGTCCATTGTGGGTGGTACCACCCTTGTTCGGTGTTTTGTGAGCTGTATAAGAAAACAGGCAAGCCGGGCGGTGGTGGCACATGCCTTTAATCCCTGCACTTGGGAGGCAGAGGCAAGTGATCTCTGTGAGTTCGAGGGCAGCCTGGTCTACTGAGTGAGTTCCAGGACAGACAGAGACACCCTGCCTAAAAAAAAAAAAGCAGGCTGAGAAACCCTTTGGTGGGGGGTGGGGTGGGAGCAAGCCATAAGCAGCAGTCCTCCATGACCTCTGCTTCATTTCTACCTGGAGTACCTGCCCTGACATCCCCGGATGATGGACCACAAGCTATGAGATGAAATAAGCTCTCTCATCCCCTTGTTGCTTATGGCCGTGGTATTTTATCACAACAATAGGAATCCTGAATTAGTGACTCACTCTGTAGCCTAGGCTGGCCTGAAGTTTGCAATATGGCCCAGGCTGACTTCACACTAACATCAATCTGCCTCTGCTTCCCCGGTGCTGAGATTAGAGGCATGAACCACCATGCCTAGGCCAGATTTACAGACATTGGTTGCCTTTATCCTAGAATCCAGTCAGGCAGCAGTCTGGTCCAAACCCAAAACAAGATCCTTTGGAATGCCACACACCACCACATGGCACATTCAACTACAGCCAAAGAAACAGAAGCAGAAAACAGAAGTGAGAAATCTCTGGATTGACCACAATTTGACATTTGTCGTTTTTAAATATAGCCTAAATAGTTCAATGCTATGGTTGGCTGAGACCCAGCTATCTGTTGCAAAGGCAAATGCCCAGGTGTTCACATTCTCGGTTAAGCTGCAGTTCGTGGCACAAGTACTGAC